CTTTGACAAAATTGTGATGAACTATGGATACAACTTGAGAAAATTTGGTTCAAAACACCTCGATTACAATCAAAATCATTGAAAGGACATGCTCTTTGCAAATTGAATTTGTTCAATGCTTAGTGTCTAATCACCAAAGAAGCACATCCTATGATCATTCTCAACCAAAATGTCAAACAAGGGATGCAATGTAAGTCAACCATCGCTTGAATGTTACTCGTTCACAATATAGATGTGGAAACTACCTAAAAAAGATACCCATATTGTATGGGTTGCTGCATAAAGGTTTGCTTGTGTGTGAGGTTACAACATAAATTTTGAGATGCTTGAGAAACAAGGAATTGTGCAAGAATATGAATAAACCATGTAATTAATTTATTATTATTATTATTATTATTGTTATTATTATTTAATTAAAAATAAGAAATTAATATCTTTTTTAAATCTCGTATATCCGCACTCATGAATCTCACATGATTTTTTTTGTTTGTTGTTGTTGTTGACGTTAAAAAAATAATTGAAGTTTTACCTAAAACTAATCTTGTTGAACACCCTTTGTCCTCATCGGCTTGGTCCCGCTTTGCTTTTAGCCCTCTCTTCCTCTTTTATCCACGAATCACAGGCCCTTGGTTCCTTCTCATTTCGTGCTTACCTTGCTCGCATGAGGTCGCTGCTCACATGTGTTGATACAATTTTCGTGTTGAACCAACTCGTATCGAGTCGAATCAGGCCAAATTAGGCCCATTTTTGCTCGATTGCCTCAATTGAACCTAGTCAAACCCAAATAAACTCAAATGTGACCCAAATTGAGTCCAATTAAACTTAAACAAATTAAATACATGTTGTAAGTCGTTTATTAAGTTTCATATGATGAGCTTTAAAATTTGCATGGGTATTTTATCTTCATCTCTTTGATCTCCAATAAAGTGAATGACCTTTAGTCTTAGGCTTCTAAGCTTTAGCTTTTCTTATTGGACCCAAATATTATAGAAACTTCTTCCTCTTTGGCCCCAAAGCCAAAGCATATCTATTTTGCTCAAATCAAATATATAATCCCTCCACTTAGACCCAAACTCTAAGTATCCTCTCGCTTAACAAAAACATGTGATATCTCTCTTTCTTATGACATTTAAAATATAATCTTTAGATGTACTTTAGGAGTTTCCTTCTGTTAAAATTCACTTACCTAATTAGGTGAGTTTCATAGAGTCCTAAGCCAAACCCTTAGGTATGTTACTTTACCCTATTTAGTAAGCATCTCTCTTTTATCCAAATACTAAGAGAACTCAAAAAACTATCTAAAACCCATTTACTTTTCTTTTGATGTAATGATAAATCATTTCACCTAAAAAGTGGAATACCTATTGTGAGCTCTGAAAATTTACACCCCAGCCTCTCCGCGACCCTTTCTTTTTTGTTGGTGGTGAGGAGAGTTTTAACGAGTTTAGGTTCCGGTGTAAATTTCAGATTGGGCTTTTTGATGACACTACCCAGAGAATTCGCTCTCATTTGTGAGGATTTTATGATCCGTGTTTTGGTTTCCTATAGGTGTAAGCCCCTATAGTTAATTACTTATCCCGATAACGAGAGATAACTTTCGATTAAGGCTAATCATTGAACAGATACGTAGTATCCAACATATAATAGTATCAGAATTAGATATTAAAAATAAAAAGTTTATCACCAGACACTTAAAGCGAATGATGGGGGAAATGATGATGAACGTCTGATCAAGATCCCATGCTTCCATCATCTTGGGTCATCATGGTCCCTAGTCTACCTAGTCAAATTAGGTAGTCAACCCAACCTGATCGAAATCCTTGGTAGCCTTGGGTTGCGTCGTCCAAGGGTATCATGTAAACTTAGGATGAATGTTTGTCTAACTTAGGATGAATGTTTGTCTAAGAGGACATATTTGAGTCCACCTTAGCTAACAAAGGCTCTGTGCTCTATCGATTATACTCTATTGATTCGTTACTCAAGAGTTTAGAATCATTGGGGAACATATGGGCTCTGGATATGATCTTAATTTAGTGTTACCATTTGGTGCCAAAACCATCCAGATAGAGGGTTTTAAGTCATAATCATTTTCCTGTGGTGCCATTTGGCTGCGAAACCACCAATTAGAAGATATGTGCCACATCATTACTGGCAAGAGATGCTTTGAGAATGAATCCTAGTGATATTTTCTACTAGACATTCACTCTTTGTGAGCTGAATTAATTTTTAAATTTATCCACTTTGACAAACTGTTACAGATGATGGATGGATTTTTTCTTTAAGTTATAAGATGATTTATTTCATTTTGAATATCTTAAGTTTTAGTGATTTTTGAGTTTTGAACTTTCATTGAAATTGGAGTTCCTTAATAATTAATTTTATGATTTGGGGGCATTTAAAAAGTATGATTCCCTCCGGTTGAGATTAACCACAACACAACCATCATCAATAGAGTATTTAGTCATTTGAGAACCTTGTCAACTCTGTTCATCAGCTATCAGAGGATCGAGTTCAATTATAGATATTGTGAGTTATCATTAGAGCATTTAGAACCAAGGGCTTATCTTTAATGATACATTTCATCTAAAGATCCATTGAATGCCTCATATGAACTTTAAAATTAAATATCTATTAGATTTGTGATTATTTGTTCGTTTGTTAATCCAAGTCATGCCGACTCCAATCCTTCGAAGGAGGATGAAACTCGAATATTTAACTTGTGTAGCATTCTCAGACCTTAAGATTATAAGTTCAACGGAGCACATTCGGGTATTAAATTAATGTGCACGCTTCTTGATGTAGTTTCTTCCTTCTCAAGGCGATATCATATTTCTCGAGGCTATCGCCCACTTCCCAAGGTTGCTACACACTCTCAAAGGCGTCGACTTGCTTATTGATGTGTCACATTTAGATTTAAGGAATTTTAATTTAATGCGTGAGGGAAGACTTAAAATATATTTAAATATAATACTACCATTTAGGCGAGTTGATATATGCATTAGAAGTCTTTGTTCTTTGCCTACAAGTAGATTAATATGTCCATCAAAAGTCTACTATCCTTTCCTGTAGGCTCGTTATGATATTTGCATTACAAATCTCCTCTTCCTACCTGTAGGCTAGGTATCACATTCATTTTACATGACTTATACATGTCTATAGGCAAGTCATGTCCGACTTTGAGAGGAAGGGAATGGAAAGAGTAAGGTTGCTGTTTTGGAGAGGTGGTGGTTTTAATTTGTGTAGTGGGTGAAAGTAGGATGTGGGATGGGAAGTGTGCAGATGAGCGAGGTTGTTTTTGGGTTTGAATGGAGGAGAGAGGAATGTGGGCCAGGTGGCCGATACACATTTTGATAGCAATCTTTGATCATATTTACCTTTATCTCCATTAGTAGCGATACTTAGTTAAACACTTATATCTTTGGATCTTAGGATTCCATAAGCAATAGGCTTGTCTCAATGCAATCAGTGGTTGCTATATGAGTTATTTTATAACCATTCTGAATATGAAATAATTAAAAATCAAATAAAAATTTTAAGTAGCATACAACTTAAAAAAAAAAACTATTATTTGGATTAAATTTAAATATCCTCTATTCCTCAATTAAATAAAATGTCACTTTTAGAGTGACATACCACGTAGCCGACAGACATTTAAATATAGCCTCTAAGCATGTTGGGATTAGAATTTTTTTTACACCTGTATTATTTTTGTTTGGTGTGATGAACATTAATTGGATTGTTTGCGTTTTATACACTTACCATTAAGTGGTTAGGGTAGAATTATGCATGCTCTTTTCTACATGTGGTTAGGGTAGAATTATGTCCAAGAGGGAGGGAATAAATAAGTCATGATTATAAAAAATGCTTGCTTATAGGTGCATTTCTAATACGCACCTAGTAAATAATCCAAACATGTATATATGTATAATCAACCAAAGCAAGAAAGTAAAATGTTATGTCTCAATTATTATAATTATTAATGGCAGCAGAGTTGTCTGCCTTATAAGAGAGAAATATTTACTTAATAGAGTAAAGTAAATATGCCTAAGAGTTTAACTCAGGGCTTTGTGAAATTCATCTAATTGGGTGGGTGAATGCTCGATTTGAATGGGATTTACTAGTGCTTTTACATTGGTATGTTAACTTCTTGTCATGCTTATGACCAAATTGCTTCCCAATTCATCTTTAATTTTCCTCTGTTGTAAGCTCCATCTGTTTCGTTGGTTATTTGATAGCTGGAAGGGTCTGATATTTCTTATACTTTTTTGCCAGTTATACTGTATTTGCTACACATATGGAAGCTTTATCTGAGATGACAACCATATATCCAAGTGTAAAGGTCCTTCATTTTGAAGTTGACTTGAGGAACAACCACTTAGATTTTAAGGTAGATTGTTCGATTTGAAGTGGGAATTTATGGCAACATACTCTGCATTAACTTAATGTACTTTGTTAATCAGTTTCGTCTAAAGGATGGGCTTACACATGTACCACATTATGGCCTTCTATTGGCTGGAGTTGCTGGCCTGCCTAACTCTGTGGTTGAAACAGCAAGAGACATCACTGCAAGGATCACAGAGAAGGTAATTGGAATTATCTCCTATTATGCCTGATTTTACATTTCTAAAATTCTAGAGTAAACTGAGATAAAAAGCAATCCATGCTAAATTCTCATAATTTATTTTCAAGCGTTGAAAACGAGAGAACGGTGATAAATATCATTCTGTCTGACGTCTAAAATATTTATGAGAATTAACTTGCATTTCATTCTTCATTCATTTAATCCTATGGCATGGGATAAACTAAGAGAAATGTTGATAATTTTATGCGGTCTTGTTGGTTGCTATTGGATTCCTAGTTTTTTTTAGGTGCATTTGCGACTCATACTCCTTTGAGCCTGTTTCCTCAACTTTAACGGTTGAGTTGAACTTCCTTACCTCTAGCTAATAGTCGAGCTGTTTCTTATCCTTTACAAAACAAGCAAGTGGAACTTCTTTCTTCTGCGTAGCTATTAAGAAAAAAATCTCCTTTGATCGAGCAACTTGTGACCTACATGGTTGAAATCCAAGAGCATATTTTATAATTTTATGTTTCAAGTATTATCTTCACAAAGGAAGACTTTTTATCCAAAGTCCACTGTAATAGGCCCTTATATCAACAAATTTTTATTATCATATCAATTATTATTTATAAATTTTATCTAGAAATAGGGATAATAAATTAATATAATTGTTAATATTCATATATTAAACACTGCCGTTGCCAGATCCCAAGTCTTAGATGAGAAAAGTGGAAGGTTGCGTTAGGTAGTCGACAACCAGCGTAAAATTTGTCGAATATTAATGACATGAATCCTTTAGGAGGAAAAGAATTCATGTAGCCGACCCCACGTAGTTGGATAAAGGCTTGATGTCGTTGTTGTTGTTGTTTTTAATATTCATATATTAGGAATCTAATGACTTTTTTTCTTATGATAACAAAGTTGATTTAATAAATTATATAATCACTGCCTTGTATGTTATCCTTTCTTTTTTATGCAAGTGGAATTCTCTGAAGGAGGACAAAATATTTGTGCTTAAATCTTTTTGTATGGTATCATGCAAATGCTCCAAGTCCGTAGCCTTCATTCTGTCTCTTGGCTTTAGCTCCATGAAAGTCTTGTAAAGATCCACGAGGATCTGTTGTTTGTCAACTCGTGATTGTAAAAGACCCCTTAGTGATCCTTGTGTAAATCCATGAAGATCTGTTGCTTGATCCCATGCACCTATGCTTGCGGTCCGCTTGTGATCCATTACTCAATTTCTACTGTGCTTGTGATCGCCTTGTGCTCCATCTCGTGCACTTGCGATCAGCTGCTCTTGATTTGCACTCTACCAACCCAGTGCACTTCTTTTTTTTTGCATCTTAGGCTCTCAGTTTACTTCCCACGTACACGCTGCTTGCGATCTGCTGACTATCCAGCCCATTTCAACAATCTGCCCATGTTCGTTTACAACATGCCTCAATTTTTAGTCGAGTGTCAGATTTTTGAATCATCTGGATTTCTCTTTTATTTAGCTCAAAGGTGTTTAAATATTATGTTATCTGCCAGATTACTAATATATATATATATATATATATATATATATAAATATATGTGCACCCGCGCGCATGTGCGCTTGTGAGTATTTATAAAAATATATATATAATCAAGATAATGTCGCCAGGCTATTCCATAGAGAATATGAGGTTGCTAATTATATTGAACAAGACCTCTCAATTCTAGTTTTCTAGGCTTCAAAAATTATGAATCAAATTAATTTATATAATTTATGCTGAAGTCCCTTCAACTTCTCTTTTGGCTATTCAAAAGGCTTACAAACTGAATAAAATATATAAATTCTTGATGAACTTTGTCTTGAGTTTGATAAACAAAGTTGAACCTTGGAAAATTGATCCACCACCTGAGCCAGCTAATGTGATTTCAGTCACCGCTCCTAGACAATGTTCTAGAAAGTTTTATCCTCCAAATTGGTATGTCTTTCAGTCCATGTTGACCATGATATTTTTTTTTCCTTAAACCTATTCAAAGGCAACTGAAAACAATTCTTGGAATGTGACTGGTTGAGAAACTTCAGACTCTCGAGGATAATCATACTTGTGAGATTGTTCATTGTCCTTCAAATGTTAAACACATATGATGAAAGTGAGTTTACTCGATCAAAATTCACTCTTATGATATTTTGGATTACTATAAAGCATGATTTAGTATTCTTGGCTACAAACAAAATTTTGTGATTGATTTTGGCTGCAAACAAAATACATATAATTATTTTCTATCTTATTAGTATATAGTTAATTGAGCAATTCACTTTGTAACTATTTGTATGTTACCCTTTCTTTTATATATAATCAGTAGAACTAGGGGCATAAATAAGTCGAGTCATGTTGAATATCTACCTAATTTAGTTGTGGCCATTTTGTCTTTATTGAGCTCGAGTTCATTTATTAAGCTCAAAGCTTGAGCTCATTTATTGAAAAGTTTTTAGGCTTGAACTCGTTTGGAAAGCTTGAGCTCGTCTCAATTGTTGAGCTCGATTTCTTAGTTTTACATTCAAATTTTCGAAGTTTTTGATAATTTTTTACTTTTCATAGAAAGATAAAATATATTTTTTTGGTTATAAAAAAAATTTAGAGAAAGCATATGATAAAGTTCCAAGAGAAGTGTTATGGAGAGTTCTAGAAAAGAAAGGGGTTAATAATGCTTATATTCAAGTTATTAAGGTTATGTATGTAGGAGTTGTTAGTTGTATTCAAATACAAGGTGGTTTGACCAAGTATTTTCCTATTTCAGTTGGATTATATCAAGGATTAGCCTTAAGCCCATATCTTTTTTTTTTAGTCATGGAGTTAATTCTCACTAGAAATTTGCAAGAGGTTGTACTCTGGTGTATGTTTTTTCGTGATTGATATTCTTCTTGTTGATAAGTCTAGAGATAGAGTTGAAGGTATACTTGAATTATGGAGGTCAACCTTAGAGTCTAATGATTTTTGTTTGAGTAGATCTATAACGGAATATATTGAGTGTAATTTTAGCAACAATAGATTTAGTGGGGGATTGTGACTTTAGGCGATCAAGTCATTAATAAGAGTGTAGGTTTTAGATTTATTGGGTCTATTGTTCAGAGTGATGGTGAAATTGATGGGGATATTATTAGTAGAATTTAAGTTAGATGGTTGAAGTGGAGGAATGCATCGGGCTTGTTGTGTTATAGAAAGATCCCCCTCAAACTTAAGGGAAAATTCTATAAGATGGTGGTGAGACCTACAATGTTGGTGCAGAATGTTGACTATTAAAAGAGAAGCATAATATTAAGTGTTGTAGAGATGAGGATGCTCAGGTGGATGAGTGGCTTTACTCTTGGGGATAGGATATGAAATGAGCATATATGTGAAATGGTTGGAGTAGCTGTTTGAATAAAAAATTTGAATAAAAAAAATAATTGTAAAAAAAGGGAGGGGGGCATTAACTAAAGCACATTGGCATGTAGCCCATGTCTATGTAAAAAATAACTTCTCCAATCACATAAAAGAAATGAAAGAAACTAAAAAAAAGTTGTGCGCAGTTATGCTCTTTTGCAATCGATGGAGATCTCTTATCGATCGTCCTCCTGATCCTTCTGAACAGCTCATGAATGGACTTGTTCCGAATTGGCCTCATCCCATTTTCCAATTCACGTGAATGAGACCCTCGCTTGTTTGCCTCTTCCCGTATGCGGGCGCATGACTACACCTCCCATCCGACCCCGACACCTCTCGTCCGACCCTAGCATCTCAAGTAACTGTGCCTAACTCCACTTCATGTGCGATAGCCAACCGCCTAGGCCACACCTCTCGCACAAGCCCGACTTCCCGTGCCCAACTCTTTTCTGCAATCCTTCTCCCTCATGCGAATGAAGTTGATCGAAAGGACTGCCTTTGCCTCCCTCTATGTCCTTTCCTATGCTACTCACACGCCCGATCAGAGCTCGCTTGACCGACCCAGGTTGGGCCTCTTTCCCTCTGTGCACGCCCACCTTCTGCACTGTCTGACTCCAGCTATCGAGCCGTAAGAGCCCGTGCTTGATCTCCCTCTGTATCATT